CCCAGGCTGGTCTCAAACTCCTGCACTCAAGTAATCCTCTCCATTTCCCCAAGTTCTGGGATTACAGGCACGAGTCACCGTGGCTGGCCAGAATTTTAAAACATTATGGGAACAGAGTGTGGTGGCTTATGCCTGTAATCCCAGTGATTTGGGAGGCCTAGGTGGGAAGGCTGCTTGAGGCCAGGAGTTGGAGATTTGCCGAGGCAACATAGCAGAAAACTTTGTCTCGACAACATCACCACCCAATTAGCCAGGCGTGGTGGCGTTAGCCTGTGGTCTCATCTACTCGGGAGGCTGAGGTGGAAGGATGGCTTGAAGTTAGGCGTTCAAGACCACGTCGGTCATATGGCGAAACCTCATTTCTACAAAAAATACAAAAATTAACCAGGCACGGTGGTGCGCACCTGTTGTCCCAGCTACTCTGGAGGCTGAGACAGGAGAATCACTTCAATCCGGGAGGCGGAGATTGCAGTGAGCCAAGATGGCACCACTGCACTCCAGCCTGGGCGACAGAGGCAGACTCTGGCTCTTTAAGAAACAAACAAGCAAACCAACCAGCCAACCAACCAACCAACCCACTGCGGGCGCCCTCGTGTGTCCTGGTGTGTTTCCTGCTCTCTTTCTCCTCCCGTGTGTGTACCCACAGCAGTAAACGCCCGTGGCGTGTGTCTTGTACGTATTTCCAGCCCCACTGCTATCTCTCTGAGCTCCAGAATCTTTTCACAAAAGTCCACTTGACGTCCTCACTTGGCGGCTCAAAATCTCCTTCAACCCAACGGACGGAACTCAAGCTCACCGTCTTTCACTCAGCGCAGTTTCCTGGTCCACCTCCGTCTGAAGGAACAGGCGGCCGAGGCTGCAGGCTCCTTCCCTCCAAGGGCTGTCTGCACTCGGCTCAGTTTCCCTTGCAGACTTCTCTCCTGCCAGGTCTCGTTCTCCGCCTCTGCTGCCCACAGTCCTGCCTAACATGACCCTGCCCCCAGCCCCTAGGGCTGCGTAGCCCTCTTGCCTCTCCTGAGTTAACCTGGCACGCTGGGTTCCCTCCTTCACAGCCAGTTTGACCGTTTTTGAAATGTTCACCCACTCAGGACACTGTTCTGTGGTTTCCCGGAACAAGACCAGCTCCTGAGGCCCCCGCCCTGAATTCACACACCCGGGGCCTGGGCCTGACCTCCCCCTCCATTCTCGGAATGGGCCCAGCTCCCTTCCAGTCTGGGCCTCAGCACCTGTTCTTCACTCGCCTGCCTCGCTCCCTTCCCCTCCCAGCCACATCGATTAATTCAAATTCCAAATTCCATATTTCAGTCCAAATACTCCCTGCAAGTCTTTCCTTCACCATGCTCATATCTAATCAAATTAAACCTTGCTACTCACTACTCTTACGGCACCACACCTCCCTTTTGCTGGCATTTATTGTAATATTGCATTTTTTCTCAATGATTAGATTGATCAATCAACCATTGACTTCTATGAACGGGGGGAGGGGGGCATCTTGGCGGGCCCCATTTGACAGGCAAAGGACTGGGCCAATGACATTCCAAGTCTAGTCAGGCCTGCCCCAGCTGGCCCCGCCCCTGACCACACCTGTCACGTGACAGCCTCAGCGCCTTATAAGACAGAGAGCGCGGGCGGTGAGCATTCTGCTTTCTGCCCGGCTCTGAGGCGGGATCGCTGCGTGCTCCCTCCTGCCTGCCTGGTCCGGTGCGCGTTTGAAGGCGACGTCGGAGCCACAGCCGTGACCCTGTGGACACCTCCAGCTCCCCGGGCCTCTGTTAGTAGAAGACAGCCAACTGCAGGGAGATCAGGTGTGTGTCTGGGTGTCCTTGAGGGGTGGGTAGAGTTTGTGCGGATACAGGTGGGGACAGAATCCTCAGTGCCCTAGAAAGGCTGAGGCCACCTCCCTTGTCAGCCTTGCCTTCTTCGAAACTCTGTTCCCCATCCTCCATTTTCTTTCCGTCTTCCGCTAAGTAGAGATGATTTCTCCAGGAGGCCTGTTAGTCTCCCCAGTCCCAGCTTTGTCTGAAGAAACTGGGATAAGTTAATCAGGCCGCCTCTAGGCCAATCCCTGTTAGCTACTGGCTCCTCCTTGGAAATCCCTTACAGTGTAGAAGTCTCCCCCCACCCCAACCCCCACCCCTGCCCACACCTTCACGTGATCCCCTTGGCGGCGCCCCACGGGCTTGGTGCAAGTGTTCTGAGGCCCGCAAGCGGCAATGGTCCCGGAAGACGGGGTGAGGTAGGATCCGCATTGCTGCCTGGTGCTTGGGAAATGAGGCTGCGGTTTAACGCCCCCTGCCCCCCGCCGCCCCACTGATGCATTTTTCTCCTCACCCCCTCCCGCAGATTCCTCATGGAGGAACCAAGGCGTTCGAAACGACTTCGCTCCACCGCCTTTAACCAAGGTACGGTCAAATGCCTGCCACTCTCCTTTTAGTTTTTTCCAGATTTTTACTTTACCTTTGGCATTGACTTATAGAACTTAAGTCCTTCTATCTCTTCGAGAATATTAATTATAGATATCAAATTTTGGGTGGGAGGTCCATTTCCCTTAACATTTTGAAGACATTTTATATTATCTTCCCTATTTAATTGCTGTTTTTGAGCTGACTGATTTTTGAGACATGCTGAATCCTGACCCTTTCCATAAGGCCTTTCATCCCTTTCTCTTTCTCCCTCTCTGGAAGCTTTTAGGATTTTGTCACCAGCACTCTGGAATTTTATGGGGATATGTCTTAGTGACCATATGCTTCTAATTTTCTTATATGTTATCTTCCTTCTTTTCCATCATTTTGGATTTTTGCTCTCTTTTCTGGGAGATCTTCTCAACTCTATCTTCCAAAAATTTCCATGGAGATTTTCATTTCTGCTCTCATATTTTAATTTCAAAAAGCCATAGTTTTTCTGAATATTTCTTTTAAAAAGTACGCTATAATTGATTCATGGGCATAATTCCTTCTATCTCTTCGAGAATATTAATTATAGATGTTTTTAGAAAGTCTCATCTCTGGAATAAACTGTTTCCTCCAAGTTGGCTTTTCTTGTGTTATTGTTCTGTCTCATGTTAGAGCCTTTCCTCTGATGTTTAGTAATCTCTGATTACTGCTTATATTTTTAAAATGGGACCCAGAATAAGCTGATGGGAGCTCCAAGCCCATGGATGGGGCTTGTTGATTGGGTTCCACAGAATATATATTGTTGAGCTATGAAAGTGGGCAACCCTAGATGTCAGTTTCTTGGGACATTTTCTTAGGCTACACAGGTTTCCTAGTGAAGAGGCTTCAGATGATCCTCAATGCCTGCTCTGTCATTGATAAAATTTCTGTAGATTTGTCTAGTCCTGGGCTTCCTGTTCTGTTCCATTGCTCAATCATTTATCTGTGTGACCACTTCCCTTCCCTGCCAAGCTAGCCTATAGCCACCCCAGGCTTTTTTCCACCCCTGGAAGCCATGCAACCACCCAGGCCCCTCTGTCACCTAGAATCCTCTACCTGCTACTAATCGTCTCCCGTCTTTGCCGTGCTAAATCCCACCCATCCTTGATGTCCCCAGCTTATGTTAACTTCTCCAGCAAGACTTTCTGATCATCTCCTTCCCAAAACATGTTAAGATGCTTACTTGAGCCAAACACTAATCTAAACATTTCTCTTGTAGTAACTCAGTTCTTGTAAGGACCCAAGGGTTGGTATGTTATACCAATTCATGAAAAGGGTAACTGATGCCCAAATAAATGAAACCGTCTGGGAAAACAGCCCCAGCATTCTGGATCCAGTGGCACCTCCCTCATGATACCTTTCACCTCCCAGCTGGTTACTTATTAGCATCATTCATTTTTAGGTGTTTTGTTTTTCTCTCCTACTGAAGTTTAAGCTCAGGCAGCCTGCCATTTTTATTCAAATTCAGCCTTCCTAGGGAACTGTAGACTCATTTACTTATTAGTAAAATGGTGATTATAATATCCAACTGACAAGGTCATTGCAAGGACTTCAGAAGCTTTTGGAAGGTGCTGAGCCCAGGATAGGCCCTTAGACAGACAGAGCTCCTGAGGGCTCACCCTGCAGGCATCTCCTGACCCTCACTCTTTGCCAGGGGTCCCCTGGGCCCTCCCCTCCTTGAACCCCTCTCCTGGTCTCCCTTCCCGAAGGCTTCCTGGGAAGCCCGTGCTCCATCTCCTCACACTCTGCTTCTCTTTTAGCTTCAGGTGCGCCTCCTATGGAGCCAGGCTGCTCTGGTGTGGACCGTGAAGATGCTGCCGAGCCAGTCCAACCTGCAAAACCCATTGCTTATGTGATACCTATGAGACGGGAGCCCCCAGCTCGCACAGAGCCGGCTCATCCTGCAGGAAGAGGCCGGCGCCGGGGAGGAAACTGGCAGGCAGGTCGAGGCCGTGGCACTGGGGTCGGGCTCCGCAGGGTCCCCCGCCAGAGAGAGGGGCCAGAGGTGTACATCCGGCTAAACTACCGTGGAGACCCAGGCCACCAGGGGGAACCAGAAGTCAGGCAGACCCTAGCCCTCTCTTTTATCGAAGCAGCTCCTATGCCTGGAACTGTGCAGGAAGGCCCTGGCTCTCACGCAGCCCAGCCTGAGGTGGGGCTTCAGGAGCCGCCTCCTGCCCCTGGGCCTGCAGCTGTGGCCAGGCAGCCCATGTTGGCCCTCTATCCCTGTATTGGGTTCAGGCCTCTGGGTGGCTCCGGTCTTTTGCGCGTCATGCAGACCTCCAGTGGCACCTACGTGCACGGGGTCCCGGTGTTCCTTGCCCACATTACACACTGACCTCTGTCACCCATATTGCTGCCAGCCTCCCTTTCTTCCACCTGGACTTTCCCCAGCCCCAAACTCCATCCCCATTTCTGTTCCATTCCTCCCCGCTCATCCCAGCCAGAGCCCTCACTTTGTGTTGTCAGGAGCCTCCAAGCCCTCCTCCCAGGATCTTGACAGTAGTCCATCTGCTTCAATGCCCCTCTTGCCTCTGCTTTGTATGTTCTGTCAAAGATATGCATGCATGAAGTTCCTCAATGCTTGTTCAAATAAACAAGCAGCTCCCCAAGTCCTTTTAATGTTCTTATATTAAAAGCCAATTAAAGATACTTGGAATAAAAAACAAGGTTGTTGGAATCCTGTTATGTTGATGGTTTAAATGACAGAATGGGTAGGAATGAGGAATAAATCAGTAAAAACTAGATATTTGGGCAAAAGAGAGATGGATAGTGTGACAGAACAGTCGTCTGTGGAGCTCTCCTGGGATCTGTCTTCCTTAGGATCCACAGGTTAGCTAACGTGGAGTTCCCCAGGGATCCATTGTCCTGGGGATCAGAGGTCATATAACATGGAGTTCTCCTGGGATCCATTGTCCTGAGTATCCGCAGGTCATGTAATGTGGAGCTCTTCTAGGATCCATTGTTCTGAGGATCCACAGTTCACTAACATGGAGCTCTCCTGGGATCCATTGTCCTGAAGATCCACAGGTCATCAAACATGGAGCTCTCCTGCAATCCATTGTCCTGAGGATCCACAGGTCATCTAATGTGGAGCTCCCCTGGTATCCATTGTCCAGAGGATCCTCAGGTCATCTAGCATGAAACTTCCCTGGGATCCATTATCCTGAGGATCCACAGGTCACCTAATATGGAGCTCCCCCAGGATCCATCATCCTGAGGATCCACAGACCATCAAAAATGGAGCTCTCCTGAAATCCATTGTCCTGCAGATCCACAGGTCATCTAACCTAAAGCTCACCCAGGATCTATCATCCTGAGAATCCACAGGTCATCTACCATGGAGTTCTTCCAGGATCTATCCTCTTGAGGATCCACAGGTAATCTAACATGGAGCTTCCCCAGGATCTGTTGTCCTAAAGATCAGAGGTCATCTGACATGGAGCTCCCCTGGGACCCATTGTCCTGAGGATCAGAGGTCATCTAATATGCAGCTCCCAAAGGATCTGTTGTCCTGAGGATCCACAGGTCATCTAATGTGGAGCTCTCCCAGGATCCATCATGCAACATGGGGCTCCCCTGGGATCTGTCCTCTTGAGAATGAGAGGTGGATTTGCCCCAGGATCCATCGTCCTGAAGACCCACAGGTCATCTAGCATGGAGTTCTACCAGGATCTGTCATCCTGAGGATCCAGAGGTCCTCTAACGTAAAGCTCCCCCAGGATCTGTCACCTTGAGAATAAGAGGTCATCTAATGTGGAGTTCCCCCAGGATCCATCATCCTGAGGATCCAGAGGTCATCTTAGGTGGAGCTCCCCCTGGGATCCATTGTCCTGAGGATGAGAGGTCCTCTAACGTGAAGCTCCCCCGGGATCTGTCATTCTGAAGGTGAGAGGTCATCTAATACAGAGCTGCCCCAGGATCTGTCAGCTGATGATCAGAAGCCATCTCACGGGAGGCTGCCCTGATATCCATGGTCCTGAGGATTAGAAGTCATCTATTGTGGAGCTACCACCAGATCCCTTTTCCTGAGGATCCAGAGGTCATCTAATATGGAATTCTCCTGAGATCAGTCGTCCTGAGGATCCACAGGCCATCTAACTTGGAGCTCTCCCAGGATCCATTATCCTGAGGATCCAGAGGTCATACAACATGGAGCTGCCCTGAGATCAATTATTCTGAGCATCCAGAGGCCATCCAATGTGATGCTCCCCCAGGATCCATCATTTTGAGACTCTTCAGATTATGTAACATGGAGTTCTCCCGTGATCTGTCATTGTGAGGATCCACAGGTCATCTAACTTGAAGCTCCCCCAGGAATCCACCATCCTGAGGACCCACAGGTCATTTAACATGGGAACTTCCCTGGAATTCATTGTCCTGAGGATCAGAGGTCATCTAATGTAGAGCTACCCTGGGATCTATCGTACTTAGGATCCAGAGGTCATCTAACATGGAGCGCCCTCAGAATTTGTTGTTCCAATGATGAGAGGTTATCTAATGTGGAGCTCCCTTGGGATCTGTCATCCTGAGGATCAGAGGTCATCTAATGTGGAGTTGCCCTCGGATCTGATGTCCTGAGGTTCCACAGGTCATGTAACGTGGAGTTCTCCCAGGATCCATTGTCCTGAGGATCAGAGGTCAACTAATGTGAAGGTGCCCCGGCATCCATCATCCTGAGGATCAGAATTCATTTAACATGAAATTTCCCCTAGATACCTGGTCCTGAGGATCCAGAGGTCATCTAATATGGAGCTCCCCTGAGATTCATCATCCTGTGGATACACAGGTTGTGTAACTTGGAGTTCCCCTGGGATTTGTCGTCCTGAGGATCAGAGGTCATCTAATGTGGAGCTGCTCTGGGATCCTGAGGATCGGAGGTCATCTAACTTGGACTTCTCCCAGGATCCATCATCCTGAGGATCAGAAGTCATGTAACATGGGCTTGTCTTCCTGAGGATCCACAGGTCATCTAACTTGGAGTTCTCCTGGGATCTGTTGTCCTGAGGATCCACAGGTCACGTAATGTGGAGCTCCCCCAGAATCTTTCTTCTTGAGGATCTACAGGTCATCTAATGTGGAGCTCTCCCAGGATCTGTCATCCTGAGTAGCCACAGGTCATCTAACATGGAGATCCCACAGGATCCATTTTCTTGAGGATGAGAGGTCATCTAATGTGGAGCTCCCCTGGGAACCATCATCCTGAGGATCAGAGGTCACCTAACATGGAGCTCCCCCAGAATCCATCATCCTGAGTATCCAGAGGTCATCTAGTATGGAACTCCACTGGGATTCATTATCCTGAGGATCCACATGTCATGTGACATGGAGCTCCCTCACGATCTGTTGTCCTGAGGATCAGTGGACATCTAATGTGGAGTTCTTCTGGGATCCGTTATCCTGAGGATCGAGTGGTCATCTAACATGGACCTCCCCCAGGATCCGTCATCCTGAGGATCCACACGTCATGTGACATGAAGCTCTTCCAGGATCTGTCATTCTGAGGATTCACAGGATCCATCATCTGGAGGATCCAAGGGTCATCTAACATGGAGCTCTCCCTGGAGAGCACGAACATTTGGGTGACAGAAAAATATGAGGAAATTATGGCTAATGAATTCTCCCAGTGAAAAAAAGATGTGAATCCTGAGAAGGCTACAAGAATAACCCCCATTGGGAATATGAAGTATGGTAGGGAGATCATTCCAAAAGCTCCCTGAGAGCTGAGACCTGCATGGAAAGCAGAATTAGGCTGACAGTAGACTTTGCATGGCAGCATCAATGACTATGGAAAGCAATAGTGCAACATCCTTAGAGCTTCAAGAGGGAAGTGACTCTGAATCTATAATTCTATGATCGATCAAAGAAATGTTTGGGGAGAGGAAGAGGCAAGAAGTGTCAGCTCAAGGGTAAGGCCACATGAAGAGAGAAAGGGCCTACAGAAAAAGGAAAAAAAGCCAGACTCCCACTCAGACTGGGCCTGAAGCCTGAGCTTCCTTTGAACCTAGAGTACACAACTTACAATGTGCAAGCTACTAAACACCCTTTCTGTTCAAGGCGGCTTGAATTCAGCTGTTATCTACAGTGAAAGTACAAATAATGTTTTTCAGCCAGTGAGAAAAACAGACAAAAAACCTAGAAGAAGTGAGATGCAAGAAGCACCAGTAAGCCAGGAAATTATTAAGCTATGTTATTAAGTCTAGGTAAGTATGATTCTGGAAGAAAGATGGATGACCTAGAATTAAAATTCCAGAAGATGATGACGTAGACATTTGGGACATGGGGGAGTTCAGAAGGAGCTAGATGCTACTCAAGTTCTTGTCTAGTTCCTGCAAATGATATAGAGGCTGAATATAAGAGAATAATGAAATTCTAAACTCTGACACATTTATAAGTTGAAGTGTAGGTAGGTACCCACTGGGAACTACAACATGAATTGGAATAGAATGTAAAATTTCAAACAGATTAAGGAAAAAGAGGATCAAGAAAAATTTGCTGAATCAAACAAAAGGCATGGGGGTTAATAGAAACAAGGAGAGAGAGTGACATACTTACAGTACTAAATAAGGAATCAGTAATTTAATGCTTCGTCCTTGGCTTCCTCCTGGCTTCAGTGGGAATATTTTAAATGTTTCATCATTAAGCAAGATATTTACTGTAGGTTTCTCATAGATGTTTGATCAAGTTGAGGTAGTTGCCATCTTTTTAGAGTTTGATAGAAAGGTATATTATAAATTGGACTTTGTATTTTATTAAGTAGGCTTTGATTAGCTGATTTTGAGTCACTTGTAAGAGAAAATGCCCAAGTAAAATGAAGAGAATTTTTCCCATAAAAATATTTTTGTCCTGTTTATTCAGTCCTCTTAAATAAACCCTCCTCTTTGACTTTTTTGTACTATACCTCTTTTGCTAAAATTCCACAAATTATGAATATAAAATGTCTTTACCAAAACCAGAAAAAGAGACAAAAGGTAGAAAAAGAATGTCTGCTATCTCTATTCTTCATTCCTATTGTGTCTTTCCCCATAATCACACAAATCTATACAAGCAAATGTGTACATTAAAAACATCATTTGTGGTTTGATTTTACAAACGCCCAACATGCCATCCACTAGGGGTCATGCTGAAGTGACTACAGGGTCCAGGCAGGTAACCCAGGTGTGGCAGGTGTGGTGGGGACCAGCGCCTCTCTTGAGCTCATGCCCCTTCCAAAATGGGCAGAGGCTACTTAGTATTGAAGCACAGCATGAACCCCAATGAGCACTCTGCAGGGGGAGCTGCTTCTTGGCTTGCCATTGGGGTCTGTCATGCATAAGCCAACAAGCACCCTCCCAGTCATCCTATGCTCGTGTGCCACTATCTCCTTGCTGGATATCTGTCTGCAAGATACACAGGCTTTAGG